GGCAGGGTGAGTCTCTAAAGGGTCCTGGAACACACCCTAGGACCCTTTGGAGGCTCACCCTGCCCCCCCCGCTGGGCCAGAGGGGGCGAAATCGCCACCTTCTGGGACTCTTTGGAGGCTTGGGAAGCTTTGGAGGTGAGCCTCCAAAGGGTCCTAGGGTGTGTTCCATATGATGGACCTCTCCGTAAGGCTCACCAATTTTTAGGAGAAGAAAACAGATTATTTTTTCCTGTTTTCTTCTCCTAAAAATTTGGTGCTTCTTATGGAGAGGTGCATCTTATGGAGCGAAAAATATGGTAATTAAATTCTGAACTACCCAGAGAGTGCTTTAAATACTATGGCCGGTATGTAAACAGCACTTTGTTTTCAGTGTGTGGTCACACTTCAGCTCTAATTCCTGAATGAGGCCTATTATTTGGATCTATTTCAACTTGGAGGCAAGCCCGGTTGTGCCACACACAGCTTTTGTTGGCTTGACGTGGATGATCCATGCTGACACCCAATTTTATCTTTCCCTTCTATTTTATTTCAATGATGCCATTTTGTTCTAAACCAGTGTTTGAAGTCAGTAATGGGGACTGGATGACAGCGAACAAATTTGAATTTTACCCAGAGGTGGCCCTGGTCACTTGAAAGGCTGATAAGGCCTAATCTAAGTATTTAGAATAGGATCCAAGATGGCTGATTTGTTAGAATGCAAATCTGACATTGGTTTCTCTCCTCTACAGGTCAGTAACTTTCACAGCTACAAAAAATGTAATTCCTTTCCTAAGGCTTAATATTTAAGGCTTACAATTGTGGATCTAGCAATAACACACATTTTGAACACTATGGCATTCAGAGAAGATGTCAATCATATCTTTAACAAGAAAATTAGCAGTCTTACTTTCTGGCACTCTTTGCAAAATCCACACCAATTGTTTTGCCATCTATTTTCAGAGGAGGCTGAAGACTCTGCAAAATCTGCAACAACTGAGAAGCATCCTAGAACGCAGAAAATTAACTGAATGGGTTAACTTTTTATCCACTGAGTTCTAACAGAAAATATCAAGCTCTTGTCTGACAATAATTGAATACAGGCACGGAAATTAAGAAAGAAAGAAAAAACACAGCGGATGCAAAGACCAGCAAGTGGCGTGTACACTTTTAGTCAAGGTAAGATTTTGCTTGATATCACAACCAGCTGGTAAGATAACCAAACTCAGTAATGTCTCTCACTATACTTAACAAGTACATGTTGAAATAAGTATTAACACCCTATCCTCTGTTCAGTATTTTATTAAGATATATACACTGTTAATTTAGTAATAACAGTGTACTCCAAGCTGATTCCAACTTATGGCCACCCTTTTCAGGGTTTTCTACATAGAGAATACATAGATGTAATTTATCATTCCCTTCTTCTGGGGGCGCTCTGAGAACACTGTGCAGGTTGCCTGTAACAGAGACTGCCTCTACGTCCAGGAGGCTCTGTGTGGAAACTCCCAACCTCTGGCTCTGCAACCAGATACCTAAAACATTGAGCTATCCAGCCAACTTCATACATACATACATACATACATACATACATACATACATACATACATACATACATACATACATACATACATACATACATACATACATACATACGTAGTTAACTTACAGCAAAATAATAAAAATAATTTAAAAACTCAAGGGTGTTTAATTACATTATATTACCAAATCAAGGGAAGTTTCCATAATTAGGGTGTTGCATGCTTCTATAAAATAGAACCTTTATTCCTCCAAATAATACATACTAAACCTGACACTAAAATGAAATGAAACAAGTTCTTACCATTGCTGAAGACAACTGTACAAAAGCAAAGCCTCTATTCTGCTGGGTCTGTTTATCTTTAATAAGTCGGATGTTATTTACAGCCAGCGAAGCATATGGTGACAGAGCTGTCATGATTGATTCCACCACTGTATGAGGAGCTATGTTTCTGAGTATAAGAGCTAGGAAGGAAAAAGCTGCAGTTATGTGATCTTTTAAGAAGTATCCTATTTGTGTGCTAACTGTAAATGTCTTGAACCAATCACATACCAAGAGTTTTCCCTAGAACACTACAATATTTAAGTGACACCTGAATGATCTGTATGTCCTATGACCTGCAATAAAATCAAGCATCTCTCAAAAAATTCAGAGGAAAAAAAGTGTTTCAGAATCTACCTTCTAATAAAATATGGTCTATAATAACTATGCAAATTAAGCCTGATTGTCCAGTGACCTTAGCTAGAACAAGTCCATATACCTCTGGTGTACTGCTAAGCTTCAGAGTTTGATCTATGTTCTATTTTCCAAGAGCAATATACAGGCAAATAAAATGCCCAACAGGATGTGAGCATATTCACCTTGGCCAATCACATCCTGGGAAGGTAACTGAAAATTGTTGTTTACTTACTGGAAATATCTATACTGTATTAGTTTAATAACTAGTAGAATTTAAGACATGTATCTGAAAAATGTACATGACTAATGCGATGTATTCAAAAAAGTGGACACAAACATGCTTTAGTGAACAGATTTTTTGTACCTTAGAAAAATGCATAGTTTAATCTATGCATATCAATTTCTGAATAAGGAGAAAAACATGTTGTATGACCCCACAGAAAATTAAGATGCAGCATAAATGCCAGTGGAAGACTGAGAAATTCAATGAGAACAGGACAGATATTCATGTTGCTACTCATGGGAAGAAGAGGGAACACCAAGTGTGAACAGAAACAGGGAAAAATAGGGATGTTAAATTCCAGGAACTGTAGAAGACAAGTAGACTAAAAAATTCATAGGAAAAAAAGTGTTTCAGAACCTACCTTCTAATAAAATATGGTCTACAATAACTATGCAAATTAAGCCTGACTGTCCAGTGACCTTAGCTAGAACACGTCCATATAGCTTTGGTGTATTACTAAGCTTCAGAGTTTGATCTATGTTCTATTTTAAAAGAGCAATATACAGGCAAATAAAATGCTCAGCAGGATGTGAGCATAATCACCTTGGCCAATCAAATCTTGGGAAGGTAACTGAAAACTGATGTTTACTTACTATCACAATAGTAGTCGACAGATTGGACAGCCTCTGGTCCCCCAGGTGGCACCTCCTGCTCTGAATCTTCATTGTAAAACCAGGAAAATAAACTGTGGTTATTACATCAAGAGCCTTCTACCATGCCATAAAGGGAATTATGTGGGCTTTATAAAGAAGAAAGTATCTGCTTAATGAAACTTATTCTAGCAGAACTTACCAAATTTGTCTGCTCCGCAACGGAAGCATTTTAGTCGCCTCCTGAAGTTGTAAAGGCAGCACTAACAAATAAACAAACCCATTACGTTTTAGATTATTCACCTGAGCAAGTAACATGCCTGTACCATTAAAAGTACAAAAGTTGTAATACAGAGAGTAAATTCGATGCGGATATTATTCATATCTACAGTGGTGTCACGCACAGCCAGGTTAATCCGTTCCGGATTAACCTTCGCTGTGGGAAACATCGCACTGCGGAACACCAAAAGGCATTGGAACGCATTAAACAGCGTTTAATGCGTTCCAATGCCATAGAATACTCACCGTAGTGCGATGTTTCCCAGGGGCCGGCAGCCATTTTCGCGCCCTCCCCTCACACAACGAGGGCACAAAAATAAGCCCCGAAATGGTTGTGCGCAGCCATTTCGGGGCTTCCGCAGCGTTTTCGCGCGCTCCCCTTGCTTACCAAGGGCGCAAAAACGCTGCGCCCCGGCCCCTTTCGGCTGTTCCAGCGGCCATTTTGGACCCGCCGGACAGCTGATCAGCGGGTCGCAAAACGAAGGTCGCTTACCGACCTTCGCTCTGTGAACAGCCTATACGGGCATTGTTTTGCGATCGCATTTGCGATCGCAAAAACGGCCTCGTAGAGTGAATTCATCGCTCTACGAGGCCCCCGTTGTGCGAGGCACCACTGTACTATGGTCCATTTACTAGTACATAAAAAAATCACTTGTAAGTTGGCACAATCTTGAAGATAGGGATGTGCTTTGTCACATAACACTTCATTTATTAAAATCATCATATTTAGGAGAGCACACTTACTAGTGATCATAGCAATCTTTCAAGGAGGTCTAAGCTTTCAGCACTTTAAAGATCAGATCCTGTTCTGTGCATATATGAAAGAGTTAACATGTCTGTGATTCACTCTGTGAAACTCTCGAGGGGGGAAACCAGGCTTTATGGACTCCAGTCTACAGAGTTTCACATCTCTGAACTTCCCCCAGTTCATCACTCTTACATTTTCCCTATTAACATGACAAATCTGCTCACTCAGGAGGAATAGACTTAACGATCAAAGACCATTTCCAAAAACAGGAAGGGCAAACATGAAACTGAATTAAGAGCTGCAATCCATGTAACCTTGACTATAGCAGGCACAAAAGGAGTCTGTCTACAAGTATGCACTGACAGGTGCCATCAAACTGTGACCAAGTGCCGCTATAACACTCAGTTAATATTCACCATCCATGTATAAACTGAGCTTGAAATAGAAACTTGTGGTAGCTACTTCTGCAAGTAGAAAAAACTCTTGTAATTTTGTTGCTACCATGGAAACAGTCAGAAGTATTAAGTACCCTATTTTCAAACATGGACTTGTTTGTGTAAGCAGACTACTCGCATTAATAGTTGCCTTACAGAAAACAGGGACATTATCCCTAGATGTGACTTTATATGAACTACTGTTATATACTGTCAAGATCAAGAGCGTGGGAATTTAAAAATAAATTCCCACCAATTTTCATCAAACATGCTGAACCATTATTACATTTATAATGAATACTGATGTCTTTTCAAGATGTACTACAATAGCCACAGACTAACTTGGGGAGAGTTGCCTGACACCATGACTGGAATCCAGCATATTACTGAGATGGTGCCACAGAAATTGAAAAGTAACTCCATTACTACACTCCTATTAAAACAGAGCTTGAAATTTTTGCAGCTTTACAAAACCAGGACATCTCTGTATGAACCAATTGTCTGCAGTATTACAATACTAACTTATGCTGATATTTCCAGTGTTACTGACAAATAAATTACTTCTTGATGAAGTGTATGCTTATTTATGGACAGGAAATTCTCATATTCGCATCTGTAGTTATCTCTGTTTTCATTTACCCTCATTTGTTTAACAGTGACAGATTTGATCAAACAACTAGGAAAAACACCCCTTCGCAGAAACATCTTACCTTGTTGCAAAGCCAGTCTTCAAATTTAGGCCTGGGATTGCTGTAGTGCATTGCAATTTGTTTCCCTTGAATCACCAGTTTTTTCTGTAAAAAAACCAGATTTAGTTATTCCAGTATCACAGCACACATGTCCATTTCCCATGGCAGAGCACACTTCGGAGGTTTCAGTGCTCATGAATTAAATGGACAACATATGGGGAGGATGCAGAGAACCAACCACCGCCTCCTATATTCTGCCCATCCAATCCTGCAGGAGGACATGGACAGCAAGAAAATGGGATGTGCAGTAAAGGTAAAAGGAATCAGGGAGTGTTGATGAGGCTGCCAAAACTAAGCGCTGTCATGGAAACGAAGTGTCTCAAAGGAGACCAAGTCCTAATGGCATAGCAACACACTGCTTTTTAAAATATAGTTAAATGACTGCTTCACTTTTCCCCCAAAACCTAGTTTTAGAACTTCAAAGCACTTTTGCTTGTTTTCTTCATGATGTACCCTTTGAAAGTACAGTAACTCCTCTCAAAGGGGGCCATTACAAATCTCAGAGGCTGAATTATCATGAACTGAACGCAAGTTCAGTGTGTTTATCTTTTAAAACTAAATTATTCAATTCACATGAAAGCTTGCATGAAGGCTGTGTTCTTTAAACAGCTTTCTCCCAACAAATAGACTGCTACTGAAGTTTCGCCAAAAGGGTGACAGTTCATTTTGTTTCCAGTGCCCCCTCAAAACCTGCATTTAAAAAATAGCTGCTTAAATTTTAAAAAGAAGCCAAGTTTCTTAACTTAAAACTTTATTAAACCTATATATTCAGAGTCTCATACCCCTTTTAACTTCTCAAAGTCTTTTACAGATCTTTGTTTAGAGAGATGCACCTTTTAAGTATGTCCAGGAAGTGTGTAATAACGTGATTGAACTAACATTGGACAAACCTAAATTTAGGTATCTTGTTTAAGGAAAGCTGTTTCTAATACAAAAGGCATTATAGGTACAAATAGACCTATAGGTACAAAGGGAATTTCATTTTTCATTGCTACAGTAGAAAATGAGGGGAAGGTTGAAGGGCCCAGAACAAACTGGGATAGGCGCACAAACGAGATGTCAGTATATTTACAATGTTTCGTGTTTGTCTGACAGTTAACAGCAATGGGGCCGACTAGGGAAGCTCAACTACTTTTTCCCTAAAACTAGAGGATGTGTGGTTATTTTAGAGTGACTCTGATACTGATTCAGAAATTTGAAAACTGAGGTAAGCTTTGTATACATTAAAATTGTGATTTTGTAACCTACTAGTAAAGCTAATTCAGGCACCAATGTATCACCACTGCATGTTGAGCATTATCAAGCTGATTCATGCAAGGATTAGATTTTTTTTAGGTTTAATTGTTGAGGTAGATATTTCACCATGATACAGTCCAAACACATAATGTTCTGGTGTTCAGTACTTGGAACAGGTAAATACTGCACAAAATACTTTTTTGGTTTTGTTCTCAAGCAAAAATAGTTGTATTGTTGCTCTTAGCATTTTTACTATTGCCGTCAGCTTCATGTTTGTTGTTTTACAACAATTCAAAAAGACAGCAGTTTTCCTACTTCAAACTGATAAAACACCGGAACCATACCAATACACTGCAAATATGCTGAAAGTAACTAGTTAAGCATTTTTATTATTCATATTCTGTGCAACTTTTCAGCTGTCTTTCATAAGTTCTATCTTCTATAATCAGTGGTCCTTCAACCTTTTCAGACTGGCTAAGGAAGGCGGGGCACACACCCCATGCACATGCACGAAGGAGCGCTCTCTCTCTCGGGTGCATGCACGAAGGGGTGCTGTGGAAGGTCTATCTTTGTGGCCCAGTCTGGGGCCGGGGCTTGACCTCTCTTCTATATACTAAAAAGGTATGTATGTCATTACAAACTGCAATTTTATATTTCATAGACTGCACATTTACAGTTCTGTCTGGCATAAAGCACATGTCCAGTATGAATTCAATAAGAAAATTTTGCTTTGACAGAATACTCAAAAAACTACTTTGGAAATAATGATTATGTGCCAAGTTATTGGCATCAGAAGTAACTTTTATTTTGAAAAGGTGGCCTGGCAAAATCTATTGTTTTGGTTGAACAAAATCAATTTAAATTTTTAAGTCAATTTAAAACATTTTAATATATACAAAGCATTTAATCTTTAGGAAGTCACTGCTTTAGAACAAACCACTCCTTTGACTTTTTTTTAATTTATTCCTTTTTAAAAACTGTACAGACTTGTTCCATTTTCAGGAATTATCTAGACTTTGTGAGTGAAGCAACCTGATTGGCTTCCATCCAGCTGGTAGCATCTTGAAAGTGATAAAACTCCACGAAGGCGAAACCACGGCTTACACCTAGAGACAGCATTCAGATATAGACGGGATACTTGTGTTAGTCAGTTCCTTTAAAACAGGTGAATCTCTCTCCAACTGCTTCATTACTTCATGACAAAGCAGTTTTATAAATGCGACGTCAACTCTGAATTTGCTTCTCATTTTGCCATGGCAAGGAAACCAAGCTGCCTTAACAGGTTACATTGCACCTGAATGAGAACCATGTTTAAAGATAACCATGCAATGGACTACTAAAATTTAAAAGTCATATTTACAGTTGATGTTACTTACCGATACTGTATAAATGTATAAAAAATGAAGGCTTCTTCCACTATCTATAGCCTTTCAAAAGGCCAAATTCCTTACCCATGGCAAATCTTTCATTATGTTTTGTATTTGGAAGGTGAGGGGGCGTTTCGGAAAATGTTTTAGGCCTGGGGAAAAGGAAGATGTTGCCAGAAAGTATTTGTTTAACCCCTCACCTGTCTTTCTCTTCATCAGTCTCACATCTGCAGGCCGAGGGCCTTCGCAGGATTCAATGATTTCTCGAATCTGCATGCAAGTTCAACAAAATATGATTACTGTACAGCATTCAAAAACAAATTAGAGAAGAGAGAATCCCAACAAATTGCTCAATGCCTACAAGATGTTTACATTAGTATACCAACACAACTAAATTAAGGAAACTTTCAAAATGTATAAATATCGATCTTATGGCTAAAAATTAATACGGGTCCTTAATAAACCCCCATAAACAGAAGCACATTGTGAGTCTTCAAAAACGACAGGCAGGTCAAATGGCAGCAGAGTTCATTTCCATAAGTTTTTTATTATTTTGCAACGCAAACTCTAAACACATTGTCCCACTGATTACAATGAATGCAGATTCCTATTACAGTTTATTAATAATTGATACAATTATTTTATTCTAATTCAAAACATACTCTGCACTGTACTCAGAAAGCTTTCTCACAGCTGGTTGTAAACACAAGATTTGCAGGTAACATGAAATCCTTCAGATGAATAGAGAACCATAAATTTTAAATTTCAGACAATCAATTGGGGGTTTTTGAATTAGTATAAATAAATATTTCACCTTAGATTTCCAACTATTAACTTGGGCAGTTTTTACATCTACTATTCCTATATGAAACAAGAAAAGCTTTAAGCCTTTGATACAAAACAGTGCAAAAACACTTAGCATAGAATCCAAGTGTTAATTATTTAATTGAACCTTCTTCTCAGAGTTGAACATTCCAAACAGTAAACCTATCAAGTACAGAAATGCCTTTCTCTGATTGTTCAAGATACACCAGGGGACTAGTCTAAACACAAATCCACCAACACAAATGGAGTAAAGAGACATGAAAATGTCTTGGTAATTAATAATTTTAGAGTCTGTATACTGCAAGAGTTCAAAATATTTTTATGTACTGGGAGGGGACATTATTTTGCATGGAAGACAAAACACTACCCAACCTACCAAACACACACACACACTCTCTCGCTCCTAACTCCAGATCTGCATTAGAAAGGAAAAAATGGGGGAAGGGGGAGAAATCAGCAATCCTCCAGAGATCAGAACTGTGGAGCCATGCCAGAGTGACTAATCATTAAGTAAAACAATAAATAACTACCTGAGAAAATCACTATGAAGAATTTTAAGAAACAATAAATGCTTATTAAGGAAATAAATTAAATTTGCTCTAATGAAACCTCAATTTCCAAGCTAAGAATACAATGTTACTTACATCATAGTCTGTAACAGTAATAGGAAGCCCACGCAACATGATAGTCTTGCTTTCCTTCTCATCATTAATGTCATTTCTATAGTCATGTTCTCCATAATCTCCATCAGAATGATACCCATCTTCTGATTTATCACTATTACGCCGCTCACGTTCACGGTCTCTCTGCCAAATGAATACATAGTTTAGCAAGTTAACTTTTTACCCACTGAGAAATGATGAACCACTGACAATCATTCCATCCACGTTCAAACAATCCTTATCATTTTTCAGTTGGCACATTTTCTTTATTTCACTAATTAGTATTCCCTGAACATCTTTGCTTTTTTGACCATGGTGAGATTTAAAAATTAGTCTCCATTCCAATGAATATGTCCACTACAAGCATCTTTGCTATATAACCTATACAGGATAAATACACCTAAAAAATATAGTGGTGTCCCGCTTGACGACGATAATCCATTCCGTTAAAATCGTTGTTAAGCGATATCGTCAAGCGAAAGAAAAAACCCACTGAAATGCACTGGAAACCGGTTCAATGCATTCAAATGGGCGAAATACCTAATCGTCCAGCGAAGATCCTCCATAGGGGAAGCCATTTTCAGTCGCTGTCTTCCAGAAATAGGTCCGGAAAACAGCAGGCGGCTGTTTTGAAACCTGACGATCAGCTGTTATTGATCGTCATAATGCGAAGAATTGGTTCTCAAAGAAGGGAACCGATCATCGTAAAGAGGATTTTCCCCATTTAATCATCGTTTTGCAATCGCAAAAACCTCATCGTGAAGCGAGATAATCATCAAGCGGGGCACCACTGTACCACTAAGTATTACGGGCAAGAAATGAATGCAAAACAGAGATTAAGTAACCAACATTTAAATTTCATATAAAGTATATGGTTTAGAAACTAAAAAGTTATGAACTAGGACTCAGGAGACCTGTATCCAATTCCTCCCTCAGCCACTGGGCAACTTTGAGCCAGTAAAGTGTCAGCCTGCTCTATGTCACAGGGCTTCTGCAGAGATGAAGTGGGAAGGTAAAAAAATATGCATGCTGCCTTCAACTTACTGGAGGAAAAGCAAGATATAAAAGTAATTAAAAAATAATATACATTCTAAGCTTTCTAAAGCTCACCTCAGGACTATCATAATCTCTGCCATCATAATCTCTGCCATCATAATCGCGACTATCATAGTCCCGATAGTCATCATATCTGTCATTTCTTCGCTCCTCACTAGATCTTTTGTAGTCAGAATCCCGTCTTCGACTTCTGGAATCCCTCTCATCACGATCATCTCTATCAATGATAGACCCATACCTTCCACTCCGTTCAGTTCTGCTCACACTGCACAAAGTGTGGAAAACAAACAGCTTGATAACTTCTGTACTTATTCATCTCAACATGATATGCAGGTTTCACAGGCATTGTGAAAAGCTGTCCTAAACCATATGATGACACAAGAACTGCAGAACTGGCACGATTTGTACTTTAGAGTAGAGGAACACATTTTTCACAGGGCTCTTTTTCCCATAAATCTTAGTCCACACCATCTGGAACACTGACATTAAGACACTGCCATTTCCACAAGTGATATTTTGTTGGTAAGTAGTACAAAGCACTCCTATAGCTCAAGACTTACATACATAGCAATTTTAAATGTTGTACTTTCTCTTTAGGAAGGAATATTAGCAAAACTTTTAATCAAAATAAATGACAAAATAATTTGAAAGAATTAACCAGTGACTTTATTCAGTATAACTGATGATGTTATGAAAGAACACACAATCAGTTTTGTTTTACACCAATAAATCGCATGATGTAATTCCAAAGTGAATTTCTATTTTAATGGCTATAATCCTAAACTTACCAGGTTCTCAATGAACACAATAGGTTTTGAATCCAAGCAAGTATCTAGAGCACTGCACTAAAAACTACATAGAGTGGTGTGAAAACTAAGAGGAAAATGTATTTAAGAAGTACCTAGAGAATAAAACTGAACTTGCATCCAAATAAATATCCATAGAATTTCATTCAAAATTATTTAAGATTGTATAAAAATGTAAAAGGTTCACACATTTTTTTTTACTATTGCAAAAATTTCAATAGCATTATTCTAGAGAAAAGGTATTGCTATTTGTCTACTTTTCAATTATTAGTGATAATAGACTTGGACACCTTTTTGTCATATATGAGCTTATGGAAACAAAGTATACGTTGCAAAATAACCTATCACTTCCATTCAATTCAAAGACGTGGTGTGACATATTTATTCCATTAACACACACACACACACACACACACAAAATAAATATTTATTGAAATAAATTACACACACACACATAAATTGTTTTATTAACAAATGAACAAACACTCAATTGTATCTTCTTTTATTTGTTTCACATGTGATTTGGAATGCAGATATACATTGCTTAAAAATGGATCCATAACAGTCAAAATGCTTTGTAAGTTATTATTAGTGATTAGTCTAGCAGGAAAGTACACTGCCCACCAGTGCCATGTACAACTCATGGCTGTACTTTGCCCATTCCTACTGTATATGGAAATATGGAAAAGAATCCTAACAAAGGACACACACACACACACACACACGTATGTATGTATGTATGTATGTCATCCAACTCAATACAGGAATATTTATCCAACTAGAAAAGTACTGTTCTTTCTTCACAGCATGCGAGCTGGACTTCAGAAATGCAGCATTTTAAAACATTTTTAGTTTGGAAATTTTTCACTTTTACTACCCATGTAAGTAATATGTAATAATAGCTATTTCAATAAACCTCAAAATTTAATTTTTTAAAATTAATCATGTAATAATCACATATTTGGTGAAATTCAATTAAATTAAAATATGAAAAGGCATAAAATAGGGTATTCCATTTCTTATTGCTTCTAATTAATTTTAGCTACTAAATTCCCTGTTTTGAAAATAAGATCCACACCACACCCTTTGGAACCAAGGGCTCCCAATGTTTCCAACTGGCCAATCTGAAAAACAGCTCCTTCTAGCTCTGTCCACCCTGACTACAAAGGAGACATGCAGACAATAAGCAGTTTCATTCAACCTAAGAGGGTTAATTCATTATGGTAAAGCAGTGAGGACTAGTCCTTACTGGGTCTAAAAAGTAAAGAATACTTGAACAGGACTCCAGAGAAAATCATTCTTTCATTAAAGAGAAAAAAAATGCATACTTCAATGAGGAAGATTAATGACGAATTTCCTGGTCTTTATCCAAATCGTCTATTATGTAACTCAACACTTCAATATTACATACCGTTTGTCAGAACCCATGGTCTGCTTTTGATTCTTGATTAAAACGCTTCTAACACACCAGGATGTAAATCTGTTAAAAAAACACACACACATCCACCATATTTTAATTTTAAATCCGATTTCAGAGCTACATCCCTTGGTTCCTACAAAACTTGGCTTCGAGAAGCACCTTCACAGATACTCAGCTATTCAAGTGCAATGAGAAATGAGTACTTTACCCTTAATACCACTTTTACAAAAACACTCCATGCATCAGCTATAAAAAATCATAAATAGAAAAAATATATAAATAGAAAAAATATATATGTATAATTAGTATTTAAATATATGCACAATACACGTACAGCAAATTTTATTAAACACACACAAATATAACACATCCGCATGAAAATATTTATACCTGCATTAAAAACGACAACGACGCAACAAAAGTACAGCTACGCTGACGCTATGCAGAGTACACGAAAACCAAGAGATTCTCTTCAGCGGCGGTTGGAGAAAAAGGAAAAAAAGGGTAGCAGCCACCGCCTCTTCGAAGCTTGGCCGACTGGCATTGACAAGCAAGTATTTAATGGCGGCTGATGCTCTCTGCTGCGGCGTCTGGGGAAAAAAAAGGCAGCCACGCCTGCCGCAATCTAACAGCGGCGGTGATGGCAAATATGCGGATTGCACCGCAATCGCCGTGGCTAAAAGGAACGAGAGGAACGCTGAGGGGCAGAACCAGCAGAGCTTTATGGGGCACCCGTTTAACTGGCAGAACCAACGCATTGGTTTTAAGGCGAACTCGGCCAATGACAGGACCTTCTCTGCAGAAAATGGACGGCGGACTTTCCCAAGCCGCTGCGTGGCGGCTCCCGCACCAGGTGGCAGCGGCCACAAAGACGACTAAAAGCCCCACTAAGCGCTTAAAAGCGACCTTACCGTAATTATGAGGCAAAAAGGCGGGCCCAGAACCCTTATTTTGTCTGATATAGCAAAATCTCTTTTCTGAGGAATGCCCGGGAGCCCGTACTTACCGGGAAGGGGGGATGGTCCCGCCTGCCACCGCAGCAGCCGCAGCAACAACCGCCACCGTTCCTCTCGAGCACTAGAAAATGGCGCACGACTAGCGGTAGCCGTCTTCTACCCACAACGCCCTGCGAATAAGCACACGCCCCCTCCCTGGAAGTTTCCAGCAAGAAACGTGCTCAAGCGTGTGCCTCGTGCGGTCGCGCCGCATGCTGGGAAATGTAGTCACCGCCGCGGAAAGACAGAACGAAGCACTTCCCCAACACAATTTTCTAGTCGAGCTTCAGGGGCGCGGGCGGGCGGTTACCCTTTGGCTCTGTCTTTAGCGGGCAAAATATAAACCTCGCGCCTTGCGGGACAGCCTTTCCTCAGTCTAAACAATTTCGCTGCTTTTCTGCAAATGCGTGTGCGCGGGGCACAGCGCTGGCTGTGGGGCGACGACCATCTTGCGAGCTGCTACCGGTAGCAGGCGCGGCCATTTTGCAGAACCGCCGGTCTTCGCAGCATTGTTCTCTTCCCTCCAAGACCACCAAGAGTAATCTCCGTAGGTTCTTCACCCCGCCGGCAGCGCAGAACTATCCTGTGGGCATACAGAGAAGCTCTTCGATAAGAGTTGCCTTGTTCACGCAGTTATTAGAAAGCGCGCCGTGGGCACAGCCCCCCCCTTTGTCCCTGCCGGGAGGAGGCCCGGCCCTTGACGTCGCTTTTAAGCCTTATATCGGGGCACGAGTGGGATGGACGGAGGTGGGTATGGAGAGCCTGCCTGCTCCTCGGGCGGGCCGGCGAAAACTGCCGGCCTTGCCTCTCGCCCGAATCGCCGCAGAAGTCCGCGGTAGAAGGCCGAAGAAGCTGCTGCTTTTTCATTCCTCCTTGAACTATGATTTATACATTGGCAGGAAAGCCTTGACTTATCCTTCCATAAGGAGGATGCAATCTTTTCTTTACTGTACACCCGTTTGTCCGAAATTGTACCCTTCACAAAACGGCGGGTATGTTAGAGAAGTCCCTGCTGGTACAAAGCAATTCCAGTTATGAAGGAGCTGGTATTTACTATCACAGAGTCCCTCCCACGGCATTAAGAGTGTCAGGGGTGATGCCAGGAGTACAGTCGAACTGCAACGTTTTTCAGTTTTCAGGCAAGTGTAATCCCATGTAATTTAGGATGGATCCTTATTTCTTGGCCTTCTTTACAACAGACCAGGAGCACTTCTGTCTTACCATATTTCAGTTTGTTTGTCCTCATCTAGTCAATTACAGATATCAGTCACTGGCTTAGGGCCAAAGCTTCCTTGGAATTAAAAGGAAAGGAGAGAGATAGTTCAGTATCATCAGCGTTTATACCCTATACCAGTGATGGGAAACCTGATAGTTCAGTATCGTCAGCGTTTATACCCTATACCAGTGATGGGAAACCTATGGCATGCAGAGTCCTCTCAGAGAGCACACAAGCCATATACAGTATTGCTGGATCGCTACCCCTCCAGCAGACAAACCTGAGGAGTTGGCTGCAGTCACAGTGCTAGCACCCCAACAGGTGGCGGCCAGGATCCGGAGCAGCTGGTGCTGGCAGGGGTTGGGCACAATTGGAGGCAGATCCGGAGTGGGGTCTGGATGCACTGTCACTTCTGCTTCCACACTCTGGGTTGTTTTTTTCCAGTTTGGGCACTCAAATAGGTTAACCATTAGTGCTCTACACCAAAACTGGAGGACCTCTTCCAGTCGTTTCACGTAAATACAGGAAATAAAATTATGAAATAAATAATATAAATACATGAAATAAGTGCATGACATTAAATAGCATGAGGGTCAAAACCGAATCCTGAGGGGTGCCAAAGGCCAGGGCATCTAACAGAAGTCCCCTACCACCACTTTCTGAGTTCACCCAGGAAAGGCTGAAAGCAAAGTTGTCTCACGTCTGTAACCAGATCTGTAGCCAAACTGAAATGGATCTGGATAATCCATTTCATCCAGCAACCCCTGAATGAGGCAGCTATGAAGGAAAACAGTTTTTAATTCAAGCAGCCATGCTGGTCTTTGTTGATTTTACATGAAGATTATACCCCAATGTAAAACACTCTTCAGTTTCTTCTGTAAGTGCATGAAAGTACCATCAAACCACACCAGAACTTAAGCATGCCTGACTAGTTTAATAGCTTCCAAATGTGGGACCCCAAATTTTTGTTAATACTTCAGCTTCCAGACTTCCCAGCCAGGATGACTAATGCTCAAAGCTTCTAAGAATTGTCATTCAGCAGTCTATAGGGATCGCATTTGGGGGACACCTTGTTTACTTCGTTCAGGAGGATCTAGTCAGAAGCACAATTTACCATGATTTGGGAGATATGTAAGTAGTGTGTGCTTTTTTTTAAAAAGGTAGTCATTAAATAACACAATCATCTCTATTTCAGTGAAATTCCTGTAGGTTTCCCTCATGTCCACATTATTTAGAAAAACTACTCTGGGGGAAAATACTTTCCCCCTACCATAGGTCCAATCAGATTTGTCTCTACAAGACAAAGCAAGAATCTCTGTCTTCACTGTTTGGGACATTCTATCATAGTACCTTTCCTGTTCCCTAAAATCCTTCTGTATATCAAAATCCTCCAGGGAGGTGTACAATAGTCAAGAACTGTTAAGAATATCACCTTTCATAGAATAATAGAATAATGGAGTTGTAATGCCATGCAGTCCAACCCCTTGTTCAATGCAAGAATCCCAATCAATACATATCTGACAGATGGTTGTCTAATTTTCTCTTGAATGTCTCTGCCACTGGAGTGCTCAACACTTCCCAATATAATTGATGGCTTGGTTTACAGTCCTCTTGCCCTCTTTTGAACTCGTTCCAGTTTATCAGCATCCTTCTTAACATGCAATGTTCATAACTGGACACAGTACTCAAGACAACACCTGACCAGAGAAGAACAGGAGGGAATTTCTGAGTTCACCCAGGAAATTTCTGAGTTCATTCCATTATTCTGTATCACAGGATTGGAAGATAGTACTTCATTTAATACAGACTAAAATAGCAATGTATGGAAGAAAGAGCTGGACCATAAAGAAGGCTGACTGCCGAAGAACTGATGCTTTTGAATTGTGGTGCTGGAGGAGACTCGAGAGTCCCCTGGACTGGAAGGAGAACAAACCTATCAATTCTAAAGGAAATCAACCCTGAGTGCTCACTGGAAGGACAAATCCTGAAGCTGAGGCTTCAATACTTTGGCCATCTCATGAGAAGAGAAGACTCCCTGGAAAAGACCTTAATGTTGGGAAAGTGTGAAGGCAGGAAAAGGGGGATTGACAGAGGATGAGATGGTTGGACAGTGTGGCCGAGGCTACCAACATGAATTTGACCCTACTCTGGGAGGCAGTGGAAGACAGGAGGGCCTGGCATGCTCTGATCCATGGGGTCATGAAGAGTCAGACACGGCTTAACGGCTAAACAACAAAATAGCATTTACCTCTTTTTGTGGCCACATCACACTATTGGCTCATATTCAGCTTGTGATGTACAATTCTAACATCCTTCTTCCTCATAGTATTACTGAGCTGAGTATCCTTCATCTTGTAACTATTCGGTTTCTCTTTACTAGATGCAGTTAATACCTGTTAAATTTTATTTTGTTGTTTTCAGCCCAGTGCTCCATCCTATCATAATCCTTCTGAATTTTGTTTCTTGATTTCCAGGGTATTAACTATTCCATCCAATGTTGTATAATCCACAGAAAAGCATTCCCTGCGCCTCCTCATGCAAGTCATTAGTAAAATACAGTTTGTTAAGGCGCACTGGGGTCTCGACTTACGAACTTAATCCGTATGGGAAGGCGGTTTGCAGGTCGAAAAGTTCGTAGGTCGAATCTGCATTTCCCATAGGAATGCATTGAAAACCATTTAATCCGTATCTGCTCTTTTCTGACCATAGAAACTAATGGGAAGCTACTATTCCGCCTTCTGCCACTAGAGGGGGATATTTTTTTTCCTTTTAACCTGATGCCTTAGATTTTCAAAAAAGGAAAAAAAACAGTTTGTAACTCGAATCTAAATTCGCAAGTTGAGTCCGTATATTCCTATGAGAGTGGTCGTAAGTCGAAAAGTTCGTATGTAGAACCGTTCGTAAGTCAAGACCCCACTGTTATCAAATCAAATAATCAAATAAATTTATTGTCATTGTAAGTATATACATAATATACCCATACAACAAAATATCTCCTCCCAGTTTGAGGAGACATTGAGTACAATTCTGTAACTGACTGTGTATCCATTTGATAGCTGTTCTATCCAGCCCACACCTAGTATGCTAATCAGAATATTGTGGAGCACTTTTGTCAAAAACTTAGCTTAAGTCACAATATCTTATTGCATACTCACCATCTACCAAGGAGAATAGTTGATAAAAAATGAGATAAGATTGGTCTGGATGGAAGAATTTGTTCTTGACAAGTCCATGCTGGCTTCTAGTTATTACTGCATTGTGGCAGGGATGCTTTACCAGGGAGGAATGAACTGAAAGTTACAATTTGGTTTACACTATGAATAGAATTTTTACCCATTGACAAATAATTGCTTTTATAAATACAAGTTTTACTTTTAATGGTGGTATCATGCCCTGGTCTGTAGTTCCCTAGTACCTCTTTTTTGCCCTTTTTGAACATAGGAATAGCATGTTGTTGTTCAGTCTTTTAAGTTGTATCCAACTCTTTGTGACCCCATGGACCAGAACACGGCAGGCCCTCCTGTCTTCCACTGCCTCCCAGAGTTTGGTCAAAAGGAATAGCATTAGCCCTATTCCAGTCCTCTGGCACTTCACCATGATTTTGAGAAAATAAAAGACAATGTTTCTGAGAGCTTTTTAGCCAGTTCCTTCAATACTTATGGATGCTGTTCATCAAGCCTTGGAAATTCGAACTCATTCCAAATACGTAATAAAGTATTCCCTGATCATTTGTTTATTAATCTCAAACTGTAATCCTGCCCTCTCCACTGTACTTCACATTTGCCTGGAGGTCATAGATTGTCTTTCGGGAAAAGATGAAGTTAAAACAAATTTAACATTGTCTGTTATCAACCCTGTGCAAGTACCACAACATTATATGCAAATTCCATTCATCTCTGCATTGAGCTTCATAATAATTCTTGATATCAACTCCTCCTATGCAACCGAAATATTGATATTTCTTGTTCTGCTTTATGTGCATTTTTCTGTTAACAAGATTGCTTATTTAAACAAAAATGCCAAAAAAAAACAACCCACAGCCCTGCATAGCACTTACATTTCTTGAAATAAAAAACTATTATTTCAATCACCTCTTGCTATATCAACAGTAATGTGACATGAAATACTGTATAAGGTACTGAGGAGTCTGAGCTGTGACTACAAATCAAAGTTCTGTCCTAGTGCAAGTAAATCATTTTCTAATACCAGCGTAATTTGGTTTTCATTCCATCAGTCATATCCTCTTTTCTCTTGCTGTGTGCTCTCAATTTACTAATAATTATTGGTTATTAACCTTTTTACACGACATTCCTTTGCAAATGTTCATCCAGCTAATTTTCTCATGTGCTACATGAACAATAGGAGACTGGACATTTTTAAATATTGCTTCTTGTCTATAGTTACATGAAGTGTTTATATGCTACCACTGTTAATTTCCCCATTAGGCTTTTGGTTTAAAGAGGCTACGTAGTTTTCAGAAGCACAAATAACAACTCAGAACTCCAATCTTTTATCTCCATGTTTGTAAAGCCAGATTTGCATAGTCCCTTCCAGCAGATAACAAAACTCAATCCAACACCCCAGCAGAACTCTCTTCCTTTAATCCTGGATTATTCCTCATGCATCGTCCGCATCTGTGAAGGGCTGTGGTACAAGCCCATGAATATAATACGGACTAACTATTCAGAGGGATATTTATGGCACCCAGTATACTGCAGATGCACACAGCTACATAGAAGTGTGCCTGAATTAAAATCCTGTTTCCCAATTAAGATTCAGTTCAAAAATTTGGAAAGAAGGAAAGAAAAGACCAAACACTTACTTTTCCCTTTTATTTGAAAAACATGAAACAAAAACACCTCAGCAGGAAAAAGAAACATTGATTCCAAAAGGGAAAAAAAAACAAGGACACACACACAGGAGGGCTGAAGGGTATAGGATGTGTTGGGAATTATTTCCATGTTTTTATTCAAGTTCCTTGTAGCGGGCAAACATGACTCTCCGTACAGCATCTCTGTATGTTTCATTAGATTGCCTTCTACTGGGTCTCCCTTGGGTTCCTAAGCCAGCTCCCCTCTTCCGGCTTTCTGGCTGTAAGAGAAAAATATAATGTATATGATATAGTGCTTGCACCAGAAATTTATGAGCTTGTTTTTTTCATTGCCAGGGAACAAAACACATGTTCTTTGATACTAAGTGTAATTTAAAAAATACTCAGTATCTTTGATAAAAGGAATAGCATATGATGGACGTATCTTCAAAACCACCTAGTCTTGCCTAACACATTTGAAAAAGACACTGATTGTTTGGTCCTTTATGAAGTGGTGTTATATTAATTTCATTTTATTGATTCCCTTTCTGAACCCCATCCTCAGAACTGAGACCTACCATATTCCCATTCCTATTCAGCTATATTTAAGTGTGTGCTCCACAGTTTCCACTTCAACAAAGCAACTAAAATAGGAGTAAAACAAAGAGAAATGTCATAATAAAAAACCCAACAAACAATAAAAAGCATTAGCAGACTAAAACTATACCAAATCCAAAGACATTTTCAAAAATCAGAATCAAGTTCAGCCAAGTGAAAGGCTTGAGACAGAAATGTTTATATGCTGAGAGAAAACCATTAATAAGAGGCTTGTGGAAATTAGTGAAAAGTGTGAATTTCCCCATTCTTCCTATCATTGAGCATTTGGGGCACTTTGGATTGTATTTCTTGGTGTTAGGGTTTTAAATCTGTTGTTATTCTTCCTACCTTGGATGTTCTCATGAGCTCATCCTCACACCGGGCTGCACTGATGTAAAGTGGGATGCTTTCCCATATAGGCTAACAAGGTGCCTGTAGCTTCTGAGAAGCTAAGCCATGCCTGAAAGAGATAGGGTTGCCTGCTCCTGATTGCCACCAACTACTTCAATCTAGTAGTAGTAGTTCTGGAATAGAGATACCCCTTTGCATAAAAGTATTGATACTTGCTGGACATTGGTTCGCTGACTGGAGCCAGGAGTGTTCAAATGCCCACATGGCTCAACCTCAAGGAATGTGTGCCTCAGCTGGAACTCGGACCTATTCCACCACCTACTGCTATAGAGCTGCAGAGCTTTCTTCATCTGATAAACTGTATCTTATTTACTGTCATTACAGTCAATAAATCCTTTGTTGCAGTGGTTCCCAACCTTGGGTAACCTTGGCCTGCAAGTCCCAGAAGCTTTTACTACCAGCTATGCAGGCTGGGGTTTCTAGGAGTTGTGGTCCAAGAATACATGTGTTATCCAAGAGTGGGAAGCACTGCTATATTGAACAAATGGTGATGTCCTTTTTCAAGCACCCCACAACCTGTTACCATGGAACCATGATGTAGCAACCCAATTAAAACAGGAGGCAGCTGGAGCTGCAACTGAAGAGAGCCTTTTATGTTGGTTCCATCAACGGTACCTCACATGTCAACATGAAATTCTAAGAGTCTCTTCTGGTGATTTCATTGAACAGACAGCAGAGTACAAGAGAAGGTGGTCCTTCAGATGCATTACGCTTTTCACATCTGGATGCACTAGAAGCACAACATTAAAAGTCTTTCTCCCATAGAGAATGTCAAGAAATGAAACTGGGTGAGTATACTTTTCTTCCATAAAAGATGCTAGGAAGTTCAGAAAATTTTTCCACCCAATTTTTCAGTTTTTCAAGGATCAGTTTTTCAAGGAGATAGCTGTTAGTTGCAGCAAAAACATGGCATATTTTAGACTCACTAGTTTTATTTGGTATAAAATTCAGTAGGATGTAGCCCATTTCTACAGATGTATGGATCACAGCCTCAGGAGATTATACAATGGTGAGAAGGAGAGAATATGAAACATACTAGAAGCACAAGAGGCCTGATGCATTGATGCTCATCCTTGGGAATGACAAATACAATTCTAAATGACACAAATACAGCATGTCTTCAAAAAATTCTGGTGGAGAGGGGGCACTTAGTTATGTACGTATTAAGTTTTTTTATTGGTTAGTTTTGTATTTTTGGTGTATTTTGCAGTCAATAAATTATTTTTAAAAATGATAGTTGTCAAGAGTCATTTCCTAGACAGTGAATGACTCAACCATTAATTCAGATCTATGAAGGGTGTCACAGGACTGTTGATTTAACCTGTTTCTTTTGTCAACTGAAAGACAAGTTGTTACCTAAGACACACACACATCTGGGTAGAGAACTCCCTCTTGTTTGGAAACAAAGGGCAACACAAATTCCTTATCCTTTTCCACTAACTGGTTCCAAAATCCTAAGTCACCTGGGGTCTGACTGTCTCACTATGTATCTATCCAAACATTAAAAGCTTCAGGAGAGACCTTCTTGAGAATGCCGAGAGTTGCAGAGGTCCACCTGAAAGGCACACAGGAGAAGGCTTTTTCCCATGCTACTACCAAGCTGTGGAATGTATTCCTTCCATTGTTGCAGTCTTATTTTCACTTAAATTTATTTTAAGGAAGGATGTGAAAAGATGTTTGAAACTGGTTCATAATACTGTTATAATATTAACTGTTTTTTGATGTAATTTACAGTGGTGCCTTGCTTTACGATTGCCCCGCACTACGATGAATCCGCTTAACGATCTTTTAGCAATCGCAATTGCGATCATAAAACAATGGTCTAAATGGGGGAATTTCACTTTGCGATGATCGGTTCCCTGCTTTGGGAACTGATTCTTCGCAAAACAACATTTTTCTTACTGCTGATGGGCAGTTTCAAAATGGTTGCTGGGTAATTAAAATGGCTCCCCGCTGTGCTTAGGGACGGATTCCTCGCTATACAGGCAGCGAACATGGCCGCCGTATGGAGGATCTTCGCTGGATGGTGAGTTTTTACCCCATTGGAACGCATTGAACGGGTTTCAATGTGTTTCAATGGGGTTTTTTATTTCGTTTTACGATGTTTTGGCTTAATGGCGATTTTCCTGGAACGGATTATCGTCGTTAAGCGAGGCACCATTGTATTTTAGTGTTTATGTTTGTCTGAAAGTTGAATCATGGTGACTTCTGTCTTACTAGGTTGAAACATTTTGCTACTCATCCAAGTACCTTCTTCAGTCTGAGAGTTGGTAAGAGATCCCTGATACATCCTTCACATTGGTTTCACTTCCCCCTGGTCTGAATAGATGGACAAAGGACTGGAGGGAGTGAAAATCCCACTTCTGCACCCCCAGTCCTTTGTCTATCTAACCTGCCTATTCAGACCCAGGGGAAGTGAAACCAATGTGAAGAATGTATCAGGGGTTTCCTACCAACTCTCCTCAGACTGAAGAAGCTACTTGGACGAGTAGCAAAACATTTCAACCTAATAAGAAAGAAGTCCAGTTGCCATGATTCAACCTCCAGATAACCTTACCTGGATGACTGAGAATCTTCACAGATAAGTTTATATTTGCTTTTGTATGATTTTCATGATTCTGTGATTGAATTTGTTTTTATAATGTTTTATGAGGACTATAAGCCACTTTGAGACTATTTAGTAGTGGAAAGGTATGACAAAAATGGTGATAGTAGTAAGAATAGAAATTAATTTAAGTAGGAGCTGCAAACTGACAGCCTACAAATTGACAGCAGTTTTTCAGAGGTGTCTCAGAAAATAGTGTGCTCATTAAGTATATAGTTCATGCACCTAAACAAGAATCATTGGCAGAAATCCTGTTTGTGATACAAGCCAAATCATAACCTTCCTCCTTGCTAAGAGAGAGTGCAATTCTTAGTCAGGGGGGATGCACGCACACATGTCAACATTTATGTGCCCTTGAGAATTATGACAGGGATGCTTTGTTTAGTAGGGATGAATGAACTAAAAGCTACAATTTGGTTTATGCTATGAACAGGATTTCAGCTACTGAAAAATAATCACTTTCATAAATCCATGTTTTACCTCCACTGGTGATGTCATGCCCTGCTCATTGCGTCCTAGACCTGAGCCTTCCTTCCAGCCCATAGCCTGCATCATACGGCTTCCTTTGTTACTGCTGTCTGTCCTTCCTTTATCTGTGGGCTTATAATCACTGCAAGCAAATTTAGGACATTAACATGAAGGCATTTTCAAGAGAACGCACAGCATAAGTCATTGTATTATATTAACCACACATTTCACAGGTACAATTGTAACTCAAAGAAGACTTGACATTCTCCTTCCTAGAGGCTCATTATCTAAAGGAAGAGTCAAATCTTGTAAATCCTATTTCTCTCTCTCCTATAATTACAGTGGTGCCTCGCTTAACGAGTGCCTCGCTGAGCGATGAAATCGCTTAACGAGGCACTCTGGGCCATCGCTGGAGCATTCGCTCAGCGATGGCCCCTATGGCGATTTTTCGCTGTGCGATGATCGCTAAGCTATTCGCTTAGCGATTTTCGCACAACGAAGCGGGGGAGAACAGCTGATCGGCGGTTCCAAAATGGCCACCGGAAGGTCCGCGCCGCATTTTCGCACCCTGCCCTCGCTTACCGAGGGCACGAAAATGGCGGCGCTATGGAGAAACATCGCTTAACAGTGAGTTTTCAAGCCATAGGAACGCATTGAACAAAGTTCAATGCGTTTCTATGGCTTTTTTAATTCCGTTTAGCGATGTTTCGCTATAGCGAAGGTTAATCCGGAACGGATTAACCTCGCTATGCGAGGCACCACTGTACTCTGGTCTTACACAGTTTATATTTACAGAGCAACAGGATCTGCAAAGGATGTCCTAACATTTAAGGTGTAACCAACTTGTGCTAAGTGACTTTGGATAGGCACATTCTTCCCTTAAAAACACAGCTGTCCTGATGGATCAAATGAAGTACTTTGTGCAAGACTTCTTACAGGCAATTTCTGTGTGCCTCTAACTCTTAAGGTTAAGAAATCTACAAATTTCTCAGACTTATAGAGAGGAGAAAGCAAAACATCCTCACAAACTGCATCTCTGCCTCTTCATCATATCAGACATATATTACTAAATTTCTTGACCCTTACAAATAGTAGCTTATTAGAAGATATATTGAAATCTGAATGCAGTTAACAATGTAATTAACAATGTTAACCAGGAAGCTTTTTCATTCAAATCTCCCCTCAGTCATGAACTCCATCCTCACTAGGGAGCCAGAAGCAACCCATTCTCTCCGGACCTCAACCTCCAATTTGTTCTATAGAAATACTGATCTACTTTTTAAAATTATTGTAAAGATTGCTGAAGATGTATGCACGGTATTTTGAATTCTCTGAAATATCTACATGCAGGAAATATTATTAATGTTATCATTAATGCTGTTTCTTTTCATTTCCTATATACAAAACACACAAGACATTATAAGGATACGTTATTTTGTGAGAAAATGACACAGCATTACCTTTCAGAATTCCTGAAGTTTCTTGGCCGTTTTCTCTCTGGGGACTCCCGTTCCTCAAATCTCTCTCTTCGGCTACTTGCTTTTTCTTTAAACTTTCCCTTTATGACAGAAAGCAGAGTTAGTAAACTCCTGCTCTGATGCGGTGCCTAAAGTTTGTTTCCCTGCAAATTTCAAATGTGATATAGGTAGTGGAAGAAAGTTGCTAAGTCCTTTAATACTGCAATCAAACATCTTATTTCGTTCCCCAGATGCTTTGAATGAGGAAGATACAGAGATAGAACTCAACCATTTATACTCTGCAAAAAAATTTTTTTTAATCTACCTTATTTGATATTATCAAGCTAATATTCAAGTTCTTCCAAAATAACTATCTGCTGCTTTATATCTTCATCAAATTTGCTACAAATGAAATGATGCTTTATTTTGCAAAGTATGATTCTTCAAGTGGCTGTCTGCAAACTGACAGCAATGGGTACCGTTATGTGACTGTGTGGACACCTGTTTAGAACATTGTGCAGCTGAGTCAGAAAGGAAGCCTACCCCCACCCTTCACCATGCATATCTAAGTGCACCTGAACTTGAGTTGTTCAGTTATAGCCTGCCACAATTTAACAGAAACAGAATGGAAACATAAGGGTAGGAGAGTAGGTTGTGCAAGTTCTCAGATGACCATTAGAAGAACCAAATTTACTGAAACACATCATTCTTTTCTCAGATCTCTGTTACTCACACTGCTGTGAAACTTATAAGCTGTTTAACCAGTGTCTGGACAGCATAAAGGAAAGAACTGTCCTGATGAAAGATGCCTCAGCTTGAGAACAAACAACCAGATGGCAATGGTGGATGAATGTGAAAAGCTGTGGACCACCTTGGTATAAAGAAGGTGTCCTGCAGGCAGAAGAATTTCTAGTGAACAGTTTCAGCTGATGTTGAAAGTGGTCTTGTTGAGAGAATTCTCAGAGTGGATGGAGGACATCCAATGAGTCTATACACCAGGGAGAGGCAGTCTGTTCCCCAGTGAGTGAAACACTGGAGAAAAAGTGGAAAATCTTGCAGTCACTAACATAACATACAAAAAGTTGAATGGAACACCTGAAAAATGCAGTCCTGGGGGTGTATAACACTACTGCTTTAAGAACATTGAAAGTACACAAGGCCTGCTCTGAAAGAATAGTTGGACCCTGATAAAAAGTGGGCAAGACAGTGTTCTGCTTCAGGTGGAATTAAGACACTACACTGAGTAGAAAGGAAGTATCAAGGTGCAGAGTACGCTTTGGGAATATTCTCAAGAAATGGTGCAAGGTTCTGGAGCTCTGGAGACATAATTTCGCTTTAGAATAAGATCTAGTGTTCTTACTCCAGTTCTGTTGACAACCTTATTAATGTTGGGATTGTGGAGCGGTGGTCTGTTAACTCCTCAGTCTTGTCACTGAAAGATACTTCTCCATCAAATGCAGGCCTTCAATGAGTAGGCTGGAATCTTCAGAAACCTATTTGTGCTAGGTCAGATATGACATAGTGCAATAGTGCCTGAGATCACCTTGGATGTGCAGTTCTGTCAGGCATTTAATCTGATGCCCCCACGAGTCTAAAAGCCTCAGCTTGAAAGGGGAATGCAATTGCCTTATGGTCATCATGCAGACATTGAAGGAATGCCTCCAACTTCTATAGGAATTGCTGATATATCACCATCACCATCTAACAACTATTGATTCCGATGGCCAAGACTGCAGAAGAATATGAGTGTCTGCCTCAGATGTCAAGTTTTGTCTGCTTTTATTCAGCAGAGAAATGTGCAGCCTGCTTTCCTCTTGTCCATGAGGCTTCAACAGCAATGCAGTTTGAAAGAGAATACAGTAATCAAAGAAATAGGCAGCACTTTCTTCCTGCACGTAATAGAAATGCTCAATGTCAACAGGAAGTTGGGAAGTATAGTTTAGTTCATGACTGCTAAATTAAGGTTGCCAGAGCAGGTAGAAGAGGCAACAGAGTTAGAGCAGAGGATTACTGATACACTCTGCTAAATACAGCGTCATCAACCAGCAGTGAAACTTCCTTTACATAAATACCCAGTAACTTTGCCATCCAAAGAGCCAATTTGGCATACGGTCTGAGATCTCCAGAGGGAGAAGTCAGGGCTGCATCACCCACAACCAGAAATGATTGGGGATGAAAAACAGGGAGGCGGCAGGTCCAATACTAATTATCCTACTTCCTTGTTTGATGCCAGCTGTTCCATATCATGATCCCGTGGCTTAGAAAACAATATTGATGCAGCAATCAGTATCACAGGGTATTGTATTGGCAGCATTGTGAAGACCTTAGGAGACTAAGGTCCCTTCCTCTAAGGTTGGTGACAGGAGACAGGTTTATTAGTCAAGTAATGCTGAAGGACCGAGAACTCCCAGAAGTACAAGCGGGATTCCGAAGGGGCAGAGGAACTCAAGACCAAATTGCTAACATGCGCTGGATTATGGAGAAAGCCAGAGAGTTCCAGAAAAACATCTACTTCTGCTTCATTGATTATGCAAAAGCCTTTGACTGTGTGGACCACAGCAAACTATGGCAAGTCCTTAAAGAAATGGGCGTGCCTGACCACCTTATCCATCTCCTGAGAAACCTATATGTGGGACAGGAAGCAACAGTTAGAATTGGACATGGAACAACTGATTGGTTCAAAATTGGGAAAGGAGTATGACAAGGCTGTATATTGTCCCCCGGCTTATTTAATTTATATGCAGAATACATCATGCAGAAGGCTGGACTGGAGGAATCCCAAACCGGAATTAAGATTGCCGGAAGAAATATCAACAACCTCCGATATGCAGATGATACCACTCTGATGGCAGAAAGTGAGGAGGAACTAAAGAACCTTGTAAAGAGGGTGAAAGAGGAGAGTGCAAAAAACGGTCTGAAACTCAACATCAAAAAAACTAAGATCATGGCCACTGGCCCCATCACGTCCTGGCAAATAGAAGGGGAAGATACGGAGGCAGTGACAGATTTTACTTTCTTGGGCTCCATAATCACTGCAGATGGAGACAACAGCCACGAAATTAAAAGACGCCTGCTTCTTGGGA